TTTTAAGCTGCATGCCAGTTGGTTTGGGTGCAGGTTATCCTCTGCAGACAGAAGAACAGTTGTTGCTGAAGAGAGAGCTAAGGAAGAGGAGGCGGGATGGGGGAGGCAGGATCGTGGGGGTTGAGTGATGCACGGGAAGGGGCTAAGTGTGGAGCAAATGCAGGCAGGGTATCAGTGTTTGAGGAGTTAGAACTGGTAGAGTTCCCGGGAATGGCGCTCCTGCTGGCTGACTGAGGAACTGCTCTGAGGATGTTAGCAACGGAAAGTAGCAAAATAGATCCCTGATCCAGAGTCCTTGGTGGGTGTGGTAGTGAGGAAGAACTATATAGTCCAGGTACACATTCCTAAATGATCATCAAGCAATGCCCAGAAAAGAAACCGAGAGTCCAAAAGAGGAGGAATTGTTATAAATAAATGATGAAACTTGAAAAGGCATGTGATTACTGAGTTACAGCAGTCAGTAATTTTTAAAAATAACCATTGACCTGTCACTAGTAATATGGCATGTTAGAGGAATGCTGATAGGTAGATTTAATTTATCAGGAAACATAAGTGGAATCAGGTGTTAAAATTTGAACGCCCCCTATTCATCAGATTTCATCTTTAGTAGGTAATGAATGTAAATTATAGTTTACAGTTTAATTAATGAATGTAAATTGTAGTTTAATTTACCATACTGATGCTGGGTTCTTTATTGTTGAACTCATTTTCGCATTTTAGTATTGATGTGTTCGTAAAAATCAGAAAAGACAAAATATTACTTCTGTCATTTGAACTTTAATTACCGTTGGCCCTTGGTCAACAAGGGTTAGGGACACCAACCCCTGTGCAGTCGAAAAACCATATACAACTTTTGACTCCCCGAAGCCCTACCAATAACTTGAATAGTTGTCTGACATATTTTGTGGTTATATGTATTGCACACTGTTTTCTTACAATAAAGGGAGCTAGAGAAAAGAAAATGTTGTTAAAATCAGCAGGAAGAGAGAAAATATTTTCAGCACTGCACTATATCTGAAAAAAAAAAAAATCTGTGTGATTGGACCTGCACAGTTCAACCTGTGTGGTTCAATGGCCAACTGTATTTCCCAACCTATCTGTATCTGACAAAATATTTAAAAACTCATATACATATAGATTAGAGTAAGCACTGTGAGGTGGCAGGATTTGGGAGCAGACCTGAGAAGCTGTGAATCCAGTTTCTGTTCTGCCACTGACTTCCTATGTAAATTTGAACAAATTACTTAATTTTCTAGTACCTACTGTACTCATCAATGAAGATGTTATGATATGTGACCATGACTTAAAGTTCATGTGGCTTTTTTTTTATAATGTGTTATTTGCCCCAGGGTACAGGTTTGTGAATCATCAGTCTTACACACTTCACAGCACTCACCATAGCACCTACCCTCCCCATTGTCCATCACCCAGCCCCCCTAACCATGATTTTCTAACTCAAGCAGTTTACCAAAGTGTTCAGCAAGATGTAAAGGCATTTTGAAAAATAAATGTAAGCAAATATACAGAACTAAGTTGTAGAATCAAATTAGAATTTCCCAATCTAATATCAAAAAAAGGAATATATTTTAATTAAAGTCTGAACTTAAGTCAACTTCTGATTTAAAAGGCTGATTTTAGTCATTAATATTCTATGTTAATATCTGAACACAAGTTTCAGGATGACTTAACCCACTTTCATAAATATAGTTAAGTAGATTTAGTCAGACAATGAAATGTTTTTATTAGCAGGTATAATAAAGAAAAGGACACACAGTAGGATTTTGTGTTCTTCAGAATTATGAGTGGTCTGTGGGGAAAAAACTGGGAAAAACTACAGGGGAGGAGGCTACCTTTTGGACCTTTAAGCCCCTGCTGTTTCTCAACACCATGGACTCTGGCCGTCTGCCCTTTATCCTACGAAAAGTGATGCTCTGGGCTTTCTTATAAATTCCTTGCAGCCCTCGTGATGTGAAAGAAATATTTTTTTAAATGTACTTCTGTTGTTCTTGCGGTGTATGAAATCTATGGATTAGCAATTATGTCCCTCAGAATAACACTTCAGTATTCTGTACAGAAGCAGAAACTGCAAGGGAAGGCAGGTTAATTAACAGGCATTTAGCAGACCTTATGGAAAAATTGATTTGGTGTTACTTGTAAAAAATAAACAAATAGCTAGATAGACAAATAGAACACTAGATAAATACCTCAATAAGCAACCAACCAAAACATGCTGTTAATGTTCTTAGAGGGAAATGATTATGCAAATAAACACATTCAATTTTTTTAAGCACATTCAATTTTTAAAAAGATAAAATGCAGAGATAGTAAGTTGAAATAACTTCCATGGGAGTAGACGCTTTGATCCCTTGAGAAGCTGGACAATCTTAGGACATGTATTCTCCCCAGAAGTGTGAGCTACGTGCCTGGGGTGATGTCACCAGTGACTAGTAACCACTGCAGGGTAAACAAACAGCAGGAAATAAATGTGGGTAGGGCAAGGGTCTAGAAGCATGCCTTCCTTCTAGAAAAGTAGCTTGCCTTCCAATGCCAGCGGTTTGTTTGGATTTTTTTTTTTTTTAAAGGAAGAGAGGGGATGGAGCTTAGGTCTTGCCTTCTGTCACAGAAACCTTTAATTTCGTAGGCGATGTCTTTCTTTGACAAATGGATTTCCTCCTTGGCAGTCTCTGTAACATTGAGAAGTACGGGACTCTTTGCTCTGGCCGCAGTTATTGGTTGCTCTCCCCAGACTGACAAGCTTGTCTGCGGATTCGCTAAGAGGAAAGTTTCGAGTTACCAGAATTAGGCAAGCCCGGGGAGAAACAGGAGGAGGAGGAGGAGGAGCGGGCGGCAGCAGGAGCAAAAGAAACAGCGCCTTTAAGCACCAGGGCAACTGCCCCGCTGATTGGCTGGAGGTTTCAGAGGCTTCCCTGGAACAAAAGGTCAAAGTGGACTGCAGTGTAAGTGTAGAGAGGCAGCCGATAAAATAGCATTGCTTGAAGAAGTTTGGAGGCTGGGAGCGGCTGCACAGAGGCTAAGGGCAGCGCCAGTGGCCGCTCCAGCTGTGAGGTGCAGCCTGCCGTCCCGCCCCGAGCCCCGCTCACCCCGGAGAAACCGCTTCCTGCACCGACGGCCAGATCGGTGTGCAAGAGCCAGTTGTGAGGGTCCCTGGCAAATTCGTCTGCAAGGATGGCCTGTGAAATCATGCCTCTGCAAAGGTAGTACTCTTTCCTGTGTGTTTTCTTTTATTCTCTTCTGCATTTTCTGAGTTGTATGAAACCATGTAACTTTGCCAGTACTTGGCATTTTTTAGTAGCGTGCTGCAAACGTGTGGAGTCCTTCGTCCGTGATGTCCTTCCCGAGACCAGAAGACTCTGAATATGATACTGCCGTTTTTACTGACATTGACATCCAGTTTCTTGTGCTTCTCACTTGATGATGTTGTGTTCAGTTATTTCCTTCCTTGGATGAAAATAGATGTAAGAAAACGTCTCTGACCTCTGAAGGAAAACAGAAAGGAAAGAATGTATAGAATGGGTTTACTAAAAAACTGAATCAGCTCCTTCGCAGTGTTGTGAAGCTGTGGCAAGCTCTCAGCTCATTTGATAGGATGTCTATAGGCGAGAGACCTTTTAAAAAGGCAGGTTAGGATCCCTCTCTTCTGGAGTCCAGATCTAAGCAAGGATTTTCTGTCTGTAGGTACATTACAATACATGGACACAAATGCGAAGGTCAGAATTTCCCCATAAATAATTCTAGATAGATTTATTATACAAATGCCACCTTTTAAAAAAATGCTATGTAAGAATGACTGAGCACTGGGTTCTGTTTTTGCATTAATAATTGTAGTATGGACTGTGGAGGGCGGGGCAGAGGAGTTATACCAAAGCAGAGAGAGGTAAATTAAAACAAAAGGGCTTGTTAAAAACAAACAAACAAACTGCTGGTGAAGGAATAAGTGAAGGATGTATCCTGGAGTGGTCAGGCTGGAAGTCACCTTTGTGAGGACTAGAGTCCAGTCCTCCAGTTTCACAATTGGAAGACTGAGGCACAGAGGAAGTCTCAGAGCTGCCCAAGGTCACGTTTTATGCTTTTTAGAATTACTTTTGCAATCATATTATTATACTTCAACTTTAACTGCTTTACATACAGTACCATTTGATTTGATATAAACACTTCCTTTAAGAAAACTATAAAGGGTTTTATTAGTGAAAATGATCTTAAAAATCAAGTGGTAATTACAGTTTATAAGGCTGGAAAAAATCTAGACAAAAATGAAGTTGAATTTTAAAACCTATGCCACCAGTATTTTACTGAGTGTTCATGTTTCAACAATGAAAATAAGGTTAAGAAAAATTCAGTGTTTATTCGCAGCGTGTTTCCTGCAGATGGATACTGTGACAGAGACCAGTGTGGTTGTTTTTCTTTCACTGTACTTTTACGAGCCCTGCAATGGGAACTTGATGGGGTGTCCCAGGAATTCCTTTCCTAAAAATTAATAACCCAAGGGAACAGATAGTGGTTCATGGATAGATCTAAAATTCTTCTCTATTAACCCAGTGGAAAGCACTACATACTTGAAGTGTCCAACAGACTATAAAACTAAGGTACGCTTTTTGGAGACTTGATTTGGTTTCCAGCTTTATAACTGAGGACTTGTTTTGCTTATGATGACTTCAGTCTTAAGGGTCTTAAGCAATCATTTTCTAGAGAAGAATATTGGCTATTACTGAACTCTGTGGTAAGCTTCTTGATAATGTAACTGGTAAATATTTTTAAGAAAATAGATCTTTGTACCACTAAAACCTTGCTTAGAGAGTTAATGAAAGCTGAAATCAAATTAGCATAATTTCCAGAATTATTTTGCATTGTTAGTCTTTATCAGTAAGCCTCTGTAAGAGGAATAATTTGAATTTGCATTCAATAATGCTAATTGGTGCATTCACTGCTCTGTGGCTCTGAGAATTTCATTTGATTGATTACCCTGCATTCTTCCCTTCCAGCCTATGCCTGCCTTTGATTATAAACCTCCTGAAGGCAAGGAGCAGGTTTGTGTAGTTCTCTTTCTTAAGGATCCCTTGTGAATTTAGATGCTTATGCAGAAAACTTTCCTCTTCCCATGTGTAACTGCTTCTTCCAAACCCAGTTCAGTGCCTTAGGCTAAGGATTTCTGGGAGTCTCTAGTAATGATGACTTTTGGCGACTGCCCCTGCTGTTAACGCTGCCTGAAGCATGTAGTTTGCAGAGCCTTGTGAAATGCATGCTGACTGATGGCATGAGGGCTTTGCTCAGTTCTGTTTTAGAGCAGTAAGGGGCTAGAAACTGAATTAAAAGTGGGTGAGTAAAAGAATATCTTGAAGTATCAGTCAAATTCACCTTCCCTATTTGTACTGAGCAGAGTGGCCAATGGTTCTCATACTTTAAGTGCATGAGAATTACCTGAGAAACTAATTTTTTTAAATCAGCTTATAGGTAAAGCTCCCCTCTTTCCCTAGACTTACTGAATCTGAATCTGGGTGTGACAGGGAAAGTAAATACATTTTTAACAAGCTTCCTGAAAGCAAATCTGACACAAATGGTCCACACGCTCAGGGAAACACTTATCTAAACTCTAGTTAATGATTGTAGCTTGTGTAAAGCCATTGACAGCAGGTATATATAAGAATCTAACACTATACTACTCAACGTCCCCAAATAACATCTTTAATATCATGACTTTATAAGTGGTTTTTTTTTTTGTTTTTTTTTGTTTTTTTTCATAATCCATGCTTTCATCTACTAGGTGTTAGTGTTCCCTGTTAGAACAAAGTATACTACGGCCACCTGAGTGGCACAGTCGGTTAAGTCTCTGGCTCTTGGTTTCCGCTCAGGTCGTGATCTCAGGGTCATGAGGTAGAGTTCTGCTTGGGGCTCACGCCCAATGCAGAGTCAGCTTAGATTCTGTGTGTGTGTGTGTGTCTCCCCCTCTCCCTGTGCCCCACTGCCCCATTCTCTCTCTCTCTCAAATAAATAAAGTTTTTAAAGCTATAACAACAAAGCATGCTTACAGTATTCTCAAATACATTAAACAGTTTATACTACCAGGGATACTGAGGTAATTGAGACACAAGCTCTGCTTCAAAGAGGTCACATGCTAGGGCAGATGCAGTCATACTACCAGACAATTACAACACATGTGGTGAGTGCAGTAATGGACAGTATGATTAGCATAGTAATAGAGATGTGCCTGTTACATGGGTAACATGGACAACATCCTATGTGTATGATCTTATTAGAGGGCATGTTTTTAACCCTAATGTCTGCTTAGCTTATAGTTTCCATGGGTGACTTTTTAGGCTTTCTTAGCATATTGTGAAACTATGTAGAAGATAAATTTGTTACTCCTAATCTGTGTCTGAGATGAGAATAACAGATGTGTTTGTAAGCTAAGGATTAAATAAATACTTTGGTTCCCTTTAATGTATTTTGCCATCTGTTCATTACCTATTGTAATTTGTAGACCTTCAGGGATGGAGTTGACTGTTTAGAGACGCATGATCTTTAGAAAAAACTGCAGAGGTTGAATATTTAGAATGTGAACCTCTGTAAAGCAAGGAACTCCGTTCTTACCATTCACTTTAAATGGCTTAAAGATGGGATCTTATTACATATCTGTTGAGTTGTTTAGACTGTCTCCATTCTTTTTAAAAATACTAAAATATCTATATGTACTTCTTATACCAAAGGATAAAACTCAGTACACTTTAGCACTATATAGATATTCTTGCCATCTGAAAAAGTTCCCCCAAAGAAATAAAATAAAATAATAATAAAATAAATGGGGAAACCATATTAAATTAAGAATTGAAATAAGTTTTCTTGGAGCACCTGGCTGACTCAGTTAGTAGAGCATGTGACTCTCAATCTCAGAGTCATGAGTTCAAGTTCCACGTGGGGTGCAGAGATTACTTTGAAAAAAAAGTTTTCTTCACTCAGGTGACTATGTTCACCTTCTGTCACTAAAGAGATAGTATGTTTTATCAGATTCCAGGCTTTACCTATACCTCAGGCTTTTTGCATGATTTATATCCCAGGGGACTTTTTTCCTTATATTTTGTGGGCTATAGTTAGAATCTCTATTTTATGTATAGAAAGATTTCAGCAGGCTAAGAAACAAATCTTTAACCCACTGAGCCTTTTTCTTTTTTTAAAGATTTTATTTATTTATTTGACAGACAGAGATCACAAGTAGGCAGAGAGAGAGGAGGAAGCAGGCTCCCTGTTGAGCAGAGAGCCCGATGTGGGGCTCAATCCCAGGACCCTGGGATCATGACCTGAGCCAAAGGCAGAGGCTTTAACACACTGAGCCACCCAGGCACCCCTAAGAAACAAATCTTAACCCTAAGTCTTATGTTTATGACAAAACTCTCAACTTTCACAACAGTATTTTGATTTGCTAGATTAACTTTCCATTAGCCACTAACTCAGTTTATATCCACAACGAATGATGATGGAAGATGAAGTTAGGAACCCTAGTGATTAATTTAGATTCCTTTGGTTTTAATGCATTGGTATCTGCTTTCATGTGTTAGCATACTATTCTTTCCCTGGTTTACTTGTCAAAGTAGAAACTGAGATTAAGAACATTTATGTAAAAGTTTCTTGTTCATTACTCCATCTATCAGATTTTGGTATTCAATATATATTACTTATTCCTTCTTTTATGATGGCAAAATCCATCATAATTTCAAATTACAATGGCTCTTTTGAGAAGACACAGAGCAACAGGGTTAATTAGCACATATTAGGGACCCAATAGGGGAAAACTTCACTGAAACCTCTCGTCAGCGGAATTCATCTGTTATTAGAATAACCTTTTGCAAACAAGAAAACTGGTAACATGGGGATGATGTGGGAGTTAACCAGGAAACACCCCAAGTAATGATGGTCCTGCTTGTGTATCTTCTGTGTAGTGTTAGAGAGCCCTCTACTGCCTGTGGTGACACCACCAGTTAATTTATCTCTAAACCTGTATTATTACTAACTTGACACTTGGATAGCACTCCCAGCCTGCAAACCAACCCCCCGCCCCCATCCCCTACACAGAGACAGTCTAAGATGGAGTTAAAAACTGCCCCACATCAAATCTGGGTTAACCCTTATGGGGTTGTGTATCTAAACTTAGACTTCACTAATCTAGTCTATATTGGAAGAAATAAGATCTCTGTGGGCTCTACTCTCATAGGACAGTTATAGTTTCCCTGGAGTCTACATATTTGCTAAGTACTCCAAATAAAAAAGATATTTTGAACTAAGATGAGAACATTCTTAAATTTTACGGAGATCACCCTAACCATGGAAAAAGTGGAGGTGTTGGGTATTCAGCACAAAGCAGTGGGGAAAGCGGTAGAAGGGTAGTAAACTTGCTGTCATAAAAACATACTCAGATACTGAGAGCTAGCTAGCCATATGAATTTGGTCAGGTCATTTTCTTCAGTCTATAAAATGAGATGATAATACTCGACATACTTATGGGGGCAATTTTAGAGTTAAAGAATATGATAGCTCTTTGTAAATGATAAAACTATTCAGACGTAAAGAGTAGTATATTGCTTTTCTCTTGTGGTTTTTTTTTTCTTGATTTTTATACTTGCAATGCCTTGCAATTCCTTGAATGCAAGACTGTTTAACACAGTGAAGGTGATGCTCTAGCATTACATTCTATTTCACTGGATGAATATTGGAAAGTGACCTAAAGAATGGTTTGTAGGAAGTGTCATTACAAAGTGTCATTAAAATTGGGGTGCATCATGGCTCAGTAAGTTAAGTGCCTGACTCTTGATTTCAGCTCAGGTCATGATCTCAGGGTCATAAGATGGAGCCCCACGGCAGGCTCCATGCTCAGCAGGGAGTCTGCTGGAGATTTTCTCTGTCTCTCTCTCAAATAAATATTCGAGAGGACACAAGATGGTGGGGAAGTAGGAGGAGGCGCCCTTTCAACCTGACCCTAAAGTGAGCTGATTACCTTTCAATTAAATAAATCTTTAAAAAAATACCATGGAATCAAATTTCTTGAAACTCTCAAAACCTTCTATCCTGCTTTTTTTCCTATGATAATTATATATTTATGTGATGATCAAAATGAATGGCCAAGAAATAGTTTGTACTGTATAAAACTTTTTAAAAGGATTATTCTTTAAGAAGAACTGGAAATTAAACTGTTTTTGATAATAGCATTATTGAGATATGATTCATATAACCATATAATTCACCTGCATAGAGTATACAATTCAATGATTTTTGGTATACTCATAAGGTTGTGCAACCATCACTACAAGCAATTTTAGAATATCTTCATTACCCAGAAGAAACCCTGTGTTCTTTAGCTGTCCAACCCTATTGTGGTCTGAATGTGTCCCCCAAAATTTACATGTTTTAATTTCTAATCTCCAGTGTGATGGAATTTAGAGGTGGGACTTTTGGGAGCTAATTGGGTTTGGATGAGGTCATAGAGGTGGCATTCCCATAACAGGATTGGTGTCCTTATAAAGAGATAAGGGGGCCAGAGTACTCACTCCTTCCCATCCCCCCCACCCACCATGGGGGGATATAGCAAGGACTTGGCAGCCACCAAGCCAGGGAGAATTCTCACCAGAACCTGACTATGCTGGCACCGTAATCTTAGACTTGCCTTCTCTAGAACTGTGAGAAGTAAATGTTTCTATTGTTCAAGCTGCGCATCCGTAGTATCTTGTTAGAACAGCCCAAACTAACTAAACAACTGTCAGTCTCCCTATAATCCCCCTATCCCAACTCTAGGCAACCACTAATCCATTTCTGACTCTAAAGATTTGCCTCATCTGGACACTATGTTATAACCCTTAGGCAGATGTGGAAACTGCTATTACTTCTCGCATAAGAATGGCATGTGAACGGGAAACAGCTGGGGAGGGATGGGGAAGGGAAGAGAGGGAGGGAGGAAGGGAGGAAGGAAGGAAGCAAACAAGCAAGCAAGGAAGGAAGGAGAAAACAGTACAAAGCCCAAGAAGTTGATTTTTTAAATTAAGAT